ATGTAGGTTTTATTTTATTTGCTTTTTTATCTTATATTTTGGAAATGTACATCCAGATTTTTTTTCTTTAATTTTTTTGGGGGGCCTCCAAGAGAGTGGGGCCCCAAGCTATAGCTTGTTTAGCTTATATGTAAACTTGGCCCTGGGAATGTGCTGCTTTCAGCAGTGCTCCATCTGTGGGGTGCAGTTGGACAAAGGTGGTCCCTTAGGTAACCTGGTTCAGAGCTGCTTATAGTAAAATCAAACTGCCTGGTGTTGACCACAGCGTTTGGCTTACCTCTCTCAGCTTTAGTTATGTCTGTTTATGCCTCATACATGTAGAAAATAGAATGTTTAAGACTGGCAGCTGTGAGAGTCACAGTTTTAGTTACACAGTGGAAAGCATACTGGAAATTATTTTATGGGAAGAAGGGGTTAACTAAAGAATTATGCTCCACTGCAACCCAAGGATTATTCTCCGCTGCCACTTTTTTCAATGCCTCTGCGCACATGACAGAGTCAGCCAATCATGGAATCCATACCTTACAGAATTAATTACTCAACTTAATTGCTTAATGACTGCTGGCAATTCTTAATTGTAGTTGCTTTCTTAACTCTCTGATGCAGGATAGCTTACCGTGAGCATGATCAATCCCCGCAGAATGTTTACGAGTTCTGCGCTACACTAACCATGACAATTTCAACTTGTACTCCAATCAGACTCTGAGTATGTGTCAGCTTCTCAAAATTTAAGTTTGGATACTGATAATTTAACTATTCAAACTGATTTTTATTTTTATTTTTAAAGATGCTTCATCAGTATTCTAATAGCTATCAACCTTCCCTTTTTTTGCAGGAAATTCCCTTATTCCAGCACCGTTTCCTGCTGCTTCCCACTGCTATCCCGGATTGTTAGATATCCCGTAGATTGTCCCCGGGACAGGTGAGGCTGCTGATCCCTTATTTTTGAGGCTGATGATCCCTTATTTTCAAATCTGAAAGTTGACAGCTATGAGTATTCTTCAATCCACACTCCCAAGTTATCATCACAATAGCCCATTTTGGGGATATAGGATCCAGTGCTTAAAACAACAACACAGGGGGGTGGGGTGGAGTGGGGAGAACAATACGAGCTGCACCCCTCCACTATCATCATTCCCATCACCCTCTACTCACGGAGGCTGCTTTTGTGAAGGAGGAGAATCCATGGAGGTTCCCTGCGCATTTCACAACTCTGGCTTTCCAGGGTTCCAAATTTCCCAGAGAGCCTCTACACATCCACGAAGCCCCTTGCTTAACACAGGTGTGCTCCATGAGATGGGAATGATGACAAAGTAAGGCAGGCTAGAACACTTGTCTCCACATGGTCCTAATGCCCAAAGAGGCCTAGTGTCTTCTTGTTCCTGACTCACCAAAGATGGAAATGCAGATGTTAGCCATTCCAAAATGGAGGCACTGCTATTGCATTATAAGCTCCTGTTCAATTATTTCCCTTCTTTGTGTTTTTTTTAAATCCATGGGTGAGCAGAGACTATTACTGCATCAAACTGGAATGGTTGGCAAGATCAGACACCAATCCTACCCAGAAAGTGGGAAGCTGTGCAAGGTCTCCAGTCATGGCATGCTTCCTAGGAGCTTTTGTTGACCATTCGATAGCTGCAGTGCCTGCTAGGAAAGGGAAGCCTGACTTGCCCAGCCTTTTCATCTTCTACATGTGGCTTAAGGGAGCTGCCAGGACACTGCCAGGTACTGACGATTCCATGGTCTTCCTCCCTCCCTACAGATGGTTTGTGTGATGGAAGGGTGAGAGGGTCAGGTTCCACGATTGCAGGAAACTTGGGTAAAGTGTCCTTTGGTGGGGACCGTCCTCTGGCAGTGGACCAAAGCAGAAGAGCCATGGTAGTAGAGCTCCCAGCAGCACTGGCTAATGTTGTGCGGAACCTTTGAGTTTTTGTTTTGGTTTGTTTTTACCATTCAATAGGATTGGAGTTGGGGGTGACGCAAACATGCCTCCAAAATGGGTGGCTAGAAAAGGGAGGTGGGTCAGGTGTTATTTATCTTATGAGGTGACCTGGTCTTTCCTTCTTCCCAGTGAATTCCTTGAGGACATTCACAGTGTCTCTTTTTAAATGGGCTTCCAGCCTGGGAGCGTTTCCTGGAATGACCACATCGCCATGTGATCTTTTGTCCCAGTGGCTCTCCAGGGGGCCTGGGGGAAGGCAGAAAGAAGGCTGTGTGAGTGGGCCTCTAGCACTCAAGACACCCCAGTTATATTTCATGTGTCATCCAGGAAATGCATTGGGTTAAGGAGAGTATACATTTTCAGATGTAATTTATGTTATCAAGACTGCGCGTACCTCGGAGGGATTTAACAAACCACTTTTCGCTTCCGAGTGTCATGTGCTTAGCGAGGCAATGGCTAATCAGTATGGAGCAGGTAATGACAGCATTCATTTTAATCTTGGAAAGGACTCGGGAAGTATTGTTTCCTGACAAGGCATGCAAATGATGCACCCTAATTTTGTCCAATTATTTTCTAAAATTTCTTGCAATTACGTTGCAATTTTCTTCCAGAGGACAACTTGACAAAATGTTTGCCGGTGGCTTTTACTTCTTCCTTCATTTGTTTTACACAATATTTGTTTTGGGAGGTTGTTTTTTTTGCTTCCATAATAGAAAGCCTGGTAGATGCAAGATACACGGCGTGGGTTTCTGTTTTGCTTTGGCTACTGACAGCAAACATATCCATATGTACTCTGCGTCATTCAAACTTCCCTGTGCCATCTTGTAAGTGAACTGGACTATAACTTAAAAGTCTCTGCTTGTAGCCTGTCATTTCCAAGCGCACCATTAGTGATGCTGATGTCATGGAATGATCACAAACTTTCTAACTTGCTGAAGGGGGTAATGGTTACAGAGTTACAGAGTTCTGACAACTATGCACCTAGTGGGAAGTTTGTTGGGATGAGCCATCAAACAGGGCCAATTAACAAGGGTGAGTAATGCTATGAGTGCCAGCTGGCAAATGCCTCTCTGGGAACCGAAGGAGCTAAGCAAAAGAGGAGCAGCTGACAATGAAAGACAAGGAACAGAGGAGGCCAAAAGCTTTGGGAGAAACCTCAGGCCTGAGGTTGAGTATGGCGCTCCCCAGGCCACATACACCCTCCCCAGCCACATACTCCTCTTCCCAGACAACACCCCTCACCACTGCACCACTTTGCATCCTTCTTGAGCATTTCCTCCTAACCTGGAACGAGTCCTTGAGCTGCAGTGCAGCCTATAACCATGGCTAAGCACAATCAACTGAAACAAATGCAGATGGGCGGGGTACAAATAATAAAAATATTATTATTTGTTATATTGCTTTCTACTTCAGCCATGCATTCCCTCCTTCTGTTTTTTCCACCATGCTGGCTTTTGAACTCTAAGTGCCTATATGGAGGGACCTGTCTCCAGGGGCGGAGAAAGGGGGATGTGGTGGGGGCAGACCACCCCGGGTGTCTTCACTGAGGGGGGTGACATTTGGCAGTCAAGGGCGGGTGATGTGCTGAATGTCCGCATTGGAGGCTTGCACTGCCCCCATGGGCAGCTCACTCCAATCCTGGCTGCAGGGTGTGTGCACAGCTCCATGCACCCAAGTGGCTATTGTACGTCAGGGAGGGCACCCTCCACACCCCACGCCCCTCAGGAGTGCGCCCACCCTGGGCAGCACAGGCATAGGCTCTGCCACTGCCTGTCCCCTTGTACTGTGTAAAATGTCATGTTCACTGTCGTCACCATATAAAAAACAATTAAACATCAAAAATAAAAGTGGGTGGATAGTAAGCAAGTAAGAAAAAGAGGAGTCCATGATGGGATTTGATTCTGGAGCATGTAAGGTAATAACAGAAGCCATAATGCCTCTAAGCATGTGCAGAGTGTCTCTCCCCCACCCCATGTAACCACTAGCCTTGGATCAGAGTGCAGAACTTCAGCTGAATGGCTACAGCTTCCCTGGGGTAACAGAGCATTACAGATTCACTGCAACTGTGCTTTGATAAGTGTTCCTGTTCCTGTACCATTGATCTTGAGACGTGCTCTGCTTAGGGTGTCTCTGTGTGGAGAAGCTGTATACAAATGCAAAGAACAGTAATAATACAACGGTACTTACAGCTCTGAGCATCTACAAAAATATGGCGCACCACTTGGAATTGCAAACCACCTATCTCCAAAATACAGCCAGCCATCTCCTGACTCACGACAAAACTACATATTACATTAAACGTCTCGCTGTGCCTTTAAGTGCAGGTCTGTATGCTGTCACACAAATTGCCAGCCTGATCAATCAGGACCCTGACATGGGGGTAAAGGGGCTTTAACTGCTGGCCCCTTTGCTATGGCCCTGATCTGGATCACAGCAAGGTGTGTGTGGGGAGAGCTAAAGACCCCTCCCTCATCCTCTTGCTAGTGTCTCAATATGGATCACCCCTCCTGAAGCAGCAATTTGTGTTAAGTTATGGAAGAGGAACCTCAGGCCAGGGGGACAAATGTGGCCCTCCATGTCTCGTTATCTGGCCCTCAGGACACTCCTAGGTCAAAAAAGCACCCACCACTGGTGCTGCTTTGCATCCTTGTTGAGTTCCCCTCTTCCAGGCTGGCATGCATCCTTCAACTCTGATTATACATTTCACTTGCCCATATGGAGGAAACTAGCCCACTGTACAAAGGTAAAATGCACACTCATTGCTCCACCAACTTTTGCCTCTGGCCCTTCCCAGCACTGCCATGTGGCCCTTGGAAGGCCGCCCAGAATGGAACGTGGCCCTTGAGCTGGAAACAAGTTTCCCATCCCTGTGTTAAAAAACAAAACCCACTTAAAGGCACAGGTATACTGCTAAAGTCGCACTGAGTTTGGCCTTCAGCGTTGGAGAAATGAGCTTCCTCTCCGAAAACGACACCTCAAACAAGCTTTGGGACATGTGCAGGGTGCCATCGGACCGACAATCAATCATGGGTATCCATTATTCAGCCGTCCCACTCACCCTAACCAGCTGCTGTGGGAAGGGTCCTCTCGAATTTTCTGGCACGTTGATCGGCGGGATGACCCAGTCTCGCTTCTGCCGCCTCAGCCCATGAGAATTCTGCTGATGGCGCCAGGGCAGGAGAGTGTCGCTCGGCTGCTGCAGGAGGTCTGCTGACGTGTTCTTCTTTCCTTTCTGCTGATTTGGAAGGGGGGGGAGGAAAACAGGTATTGTTTTGATTTTGCTTAGTTTCATTTACAAAAAAAGGAAGACAAAGCAACAATGCAATGCATGTAAGGAAAAATCAACTCCTCGGGACCACGTTGAGGCTCATTTGGGTTGAGAAATAACTGGGGGTGTGTGGGGGGTGTATTTTTGTTATTACAATGAAGCAAACATTTCTGCATTACAAAAGCGAGTGGCACTCCTATTGACAACTTCATTTTTCCACACGTATGGAGCTGTCATTAGACAATCAAGCCTTCTTCCACGACGGATTGTCTTCATTATGCCAACTGCAGGAAGCTTTATCAGCCCCTTGGAGGATAAAATCTGCAGATTCCTAATAAATATAATAAATCACAGGGACGAAATGAAACAAGCTGAAAACACCCCTGGTGTTACCAGTGGTAGGTCTGGGTCCATTACGCAGTATTAAGCTTCTCGCTAGCCTGGAATTTTAAAGCACTGCTGACTTATTTGCAGTCATCATGGAATGGGATTCAGGCAGTCTGAATGCTGTCTAAAGAGATCCATCATCTGGTGGACACAAGGTAGAAAGGAGGGTCTAGAAGAAGATCTTGGTACGTCTTGGTATGTCTTGGAGGTCTGCTTCAAACTATATTTACTTCCACACAGATCTCTCCAAATGATGACTGTAAAAACTGTGATTGGCATGATTATGTGTGTGGTCTTTCGTCAGTGGTTCTGGTCCTTAAAATGGGAACCCCATGTATTTAATTTGGCACCTAGCCTACTAAGCACCATGGGACCATGTGTACCAAGGGCTCAGCACCCTCTTGAAGTGGAAAAATGAATATAAATGTGCAACATTAGCCCTTGTGATTGGCAGATGATGATGATGATTGACATGACTTTGGCTTATGAAGCAGATGCAGCTAAATACCAAACCAAAGAGTGTCAGGCCTCCCAGAATGATGCAGGCAAAATCAGGGGGTGGAATGTCAAGCAGAGAAAAAGGTGAGGTAGGCAGCCTCTGCAAAGAGCAATGCTTTAATTGTGCACTCCTGTTACCAGCAGGGGAACACATGCACACAGTCAAACTGTGTAGGATTGAATCCAACACTCACCAGCTAGTGAGTGGAGGATTCAGTCCTGCTAACTGCAGGGTGCTTCACAAGGAGCACCTGGCAGGATTGTATGGAAGGCTCAGTTCTTCTGGCTGAAGGGTGCTTGCAACTTGGCAAGCATGTTCCCCACAGGGCAGGCACTTGTGAAGCACCACCCAGCAGAATTGAACTCTCCGCTCACCAGCTCAACCCCAATTAAATTTTCCCACTCCCCATTGATACAGGGCCTGCATCTAGGTCAAGGGAAGGTTCTGGAATGACCTGATCAACAGGACAGTGGCTTCTGTCTGCTTGTCCTGTTCTGGTATAACAGAGAAGTCCACAGGGGAAGAGAGCATGGGATGTTGCCTGCTTCAGGACCAAGGAGAGCTCCTAGTGTGTGACTTGCTCCATAAGCATTGGAAATGAATTGAGGCCTTATGAGTATCTGACTCCTGTTCGTATCTTCTAGGCTCCTCCTCATTTTAGAGAACCAGGGTGCCTTAAGGGGCAGGCCAAAGTTCAGGCGAAAGCCCCCCAGTCTTCATGAATTCCCCCCTCCCCCATGAACTCAAAATCTCTCTACTACCCAGTCATGCCCTTCTCAGTTTATGTTTGGGGGAAACAAAATGCAGATTTAGATGGTGTTCGTGTTTTCTTCTAAATTGTGTGATTTTGCATTTGCCATCCTGATTTAAGCAAAAACCTGTGGCTATACAACCCATATGGCTTAATTGGGCTTCTTTCTTTAAGGAGATTCAAGGCTTCAAGTTCACTTGAGAATTGGGATGGGGAAGAGGGGCATTGGTTCTAAAGCCCCGGGAAACCAAATCATTCCTCCATTTCTGAGCTTGCTCAGAGCTGTTTCTTGGTGCTGATAATGCCAAGGCTGCAGATTCGATCCCCGTATGGGACAGGTGCATATTCCTGCATTGAAGGGGGTTGGACTAGATGATCCTCAGGCTCCCTTCCAACTCTACAATTCTATGATTCTCTGAAAGGATGTTATCATGGTTCCCACATCAAATATAAGGATTGAGTCCAAGTGAAAATCATTTGCTGAATATCACCCAGGGGTGTTACAGCTGTACTTTCAATACAAATCTCATATTTATAAACCAAATGTGCTAGTTATCAGACCACAACTTCTGTTAAGCGAAGAACTACAGGCTAAAAAAATCAAGCCTGTGTCTTACTGGCAGAAGGTTCCAGGTTCACTACCTGATATCTCCAGGTAAAACTATCACATAGCACTGGGATGGGGAAACTGCGGTCCCTGGCTGTTATCAGATTCCAGCTCCCATCACTTCCAAACAGCATGGACAGTGGTCAGGGATTATTGGAGTTACACATGGAGGGTGTGTGTGTTTCCCATGTCTGATGTAGCAGATGATGTGAAAGACCTGTCTGAGAGGTTGAAGAGCCACTCTAAGTCAGGACTAACAATGTTGGGTTTGATGGGCATATAAGAAGAAGAAGAGTTTGGATTTGATATCCCGCTTTATCCCTACCCAAAGGAGTCTCAAAGCGGCTAACAATCTCCTTTCCCTTCCTCCCCCACAACAAACCCTCTGTGAGGTGAGTGGGGCTGAGAGACTTCCGAGAAGTGTGAGTAGCCCAAGGTCACCCAGCAGCTGCATGTGGAGGACCAGAGACGCGAACCCGGTTCACCAGATTATGAGTCCATTGCTCTTAACCACTACACCACGCTGGCTCTCAGATATAATTCAGATATAAGTCTGAATTGGTATCAGGCAGTTTCCTACCACTGTCCTCCTAGTAATTTGGCAACAGATTTACAACACAGGTGCTAAAGGCTTTCCAAATCTTAAGAGTACAAAGTCTTGCTTGTGTGTGCTTATTTCCTTCCTCTTACATTTTGAGCTTTTCTAGCAACCGTGCTTAATCCTCTTCTTGAATATGCTCATTAATAAGTGGCACCAGGAAAGGTAAAAGGGCACCTAGAAGCTCGACATGCATTTATGCATCCACGAGACCTAAACACAATCCACATTTGCTCCATGGAACGGACCCCTTTTAAAAATCAGTTTGCAATTCCCAGCTGGGGGATCTTGAGAGAGCAGAAGCTTAGGTCAGTTTTGATAATTGGCATGCAAGAGTGAGAGACAAATTACGAAGGGACGGTAAAATAATTTGTGCTCTGGCAAGTTTACACCAGGGAATGTATGTGGGCTAAAGAGAGACTTGAGAATTAACATGACTCCCAAAGCCCTCTGGATGCAGAAATAATTAGTATCGGCTCAGCAAGACCATCCTGGTCCTTTCATTCTTTCAGAAATATTTGATGGCTAGTGAGTGGAACATAACTCTTTGTCACTTGTAATGAGGTTTTCTGACATTAGCATAGATTGCCAACCAGACTTTGAGGTTGACTGTGTGCACTGAAGCTAAGGGGCCAATTTGGACATTTTCAAAAGGGTCTCCCCTCCTCGCCCACTGGCTTGGTCCTCTCCATCACCATACAAAGAGGAAAGAAGTGCAATATCACATTGTTTTCCATCATGCTTCCAGTTTTCAGCTCCAAGTAGGGAGGGGAGAACTTAGTGGGATGCTAGAAGCCTATTGTGCTTTTTCTAAAAATGAAATAAATAGAACTAAATAATTTCCTTGCAAGGGGAGCTGGGTTACTTATATGTATTGATCAGATGTTTCTCATTGCTGAGATATATTGGGCTGGAAATGCACCACAGGACCCAAAGGGAAATTTCCTTCAACTATGCTCTTTCCAAGCCCAAAGAACGTTGGGATGTGCTGCTTGCAAGATTTCTCATCACACTAGGCAATATCAACCCCACAGTTTGCACTGGCAGTGGGTAAATACAAGTGTCTCTCTGCTTCCCACCTGGTCCAGGTGCATGAGGTGACCACATCCCACCTTCAAGCAACTGTGCTTCTGAATAATCTGAAATTCTCCCATTTACCAGGGACAGCCTCTATTTTCAATTCTTGTCCTTGATTTGCTTCTTAGGGGTATGTTGTAAGTATCAAGGTATTTTGTTTCATTTTTTTAAGTTACAGATTATACAGTGGTACCTTGCGCTACATATGCTTCAGGTTACATACGCTTCAGGTTACAGAGTCCGCTAACCCAGAAATAGTGCTTCAGGTTAAGAACTTTGCTTCAGGATGAGAACAGAAATCGTGCTCCAGCGGCGTGGCGGCAGCAGGAGGCCCCATTAGCTAAAGTGGTGCTTCAGGTTAAGAACAGTTTCAGGTTAAGAACAGACCTCCGGAACGAATTAAGTACTTAACCTGAGGTACCACTGTACATCTGCCAAGTGTCCCTTGCATATTTCACAGATACCATCTCTTTTGTCAGATTAAACATCCCACTAACCTTTTTCTTTTTGTAAATAATACTTATGGTGAGCTTGCTAACACATCTGCTGCAGAGGTCAGTACAACAGAGATGGGCGCCCTCATGGATACAACTCCCAGCATCCCTGCTCACGTTGCTCAGGACTGCTGGGAGGTGCAGTTGAACAATATCTGGAGGGTTACAGATTCCTCATCCCTGCAGTAGAGGATAGGGTATCATAGAGGAAATGAAAGGCATTGCAGAGCAGGTGGAAAAGTCAAGGAAGACCCAGGCAGTGATCTTTCATGCAGGATTCAAAGCATGCAGACTCCATACATTATGCACATAGATACCCGTCTGCAGATGTTTAAAGTTGAATGCAGTTATCGGGAGCAGCACCATAGGGTCAGAGGGGATTACAAAGTCTTTGATATGTTAATATCTTCTATGCCGGCTCTATATACTACAGCATCCATGATAGCATCATATGTTCTATGGATGAAAAGGAACTGTATTGCATTTCACAGGGTTTTTTCCTTTCCTTTTTCTTTCCATGGTTTCAGAATTATGAAACATGCAAAATAGCAATT